CCTCACAGGTGTACTAATCACGAGTTACCAGGACCCTCACAGGTGTACTAATCACGAGTTACCAGGACCCTCACAGGTGTCCTAACCACAACTTACCAGGACCCTCAGAGGTGTCATAATAAGGGTATGAAAATACTACACACATTTTTAACAATCAAACAAAATATAAGAACTCTTTGGTTATACAGACAGTACTTTAATTATAGACTCAGCTTCTTAATAATGGTAAAGACAAAGCAGTAGCTGAATTATATACATTACCTAGTCATGAGTCAGGATTGTCATCTAATACATAATAACAAATGATATGGGGAAATTATCTTACTTAACAAATGTTTGGTTAAATCTCACCTAGCTGCAACAACTGTCCCTCCCACCATGGCAAATACTGTCACCACAATGATACAAGGTTGTCTCACTCTAAGAGAATGAACAAAAAAATCACAACCAGCATGACCATTTAATTAACCATTCTATGTTTTAATTTATTTATTTTTTTACACCCACACTCAGACATAAGCTCCAACAGATACTGAAACCATTAAAATAGTAAAGTAAATATATTTTTTTTCTTTTTATCTTTTATAATGAAACGTATATAGAAATGACTGAATGCCTGTCGTACGCAATTCTTATTTGTTTCAGAACATTTGCTATAAATAATTATTTCATTAACATATTTTCCAAAAATAAATTACATTATATTAAGAATACGTACAGAATAAACGTATATCCATTTTTAGTATTTCATGAAAAACATTTTTTATGGCTATTTCCCCCCCCCCCCCCAATCACCCGCGTAAGTGCATGTCTGTGATATTTGACACGTGCATAACATTACATATAATTAAAAACGTACCATTAATTTAGCAAAGACACAAACATCAATGGCTCTATAACATGTAAAAACAATGGAAAACCTCAAATGCAAATTAAACTTGTTAAGAACTATCATATTTGAAAAATATAAAAAATACTGCTTGGGTGTGAATGTTTGCAAATGGATTTTTTTCTCTTAAAATATTATGAAAGAGTAGATTAATCTCACAGATTAAATTTTCAATCTTACCTTTGGTGAAAAGAAATCTGTAATATCATCATAAACTTTAAGGTCTAAAAAAGACCAGTAGCACAAATTTTAATTCAGTGGTGTAGAATGCTTAAATTAAAGAAGAAATTATGCAATTTTAGGCCCAACAAAAGCTAAAACATGCTAGGAGGGCCTAATTAGCAATGTTTAATAGCTTAAAATTTCATGGAAATGCATTTTTTAACTTAAAAAGAGGAAAAAAATATCGAAATTTGAGGTCATTTTATCACCTGTCAGGGTTAGTAAATAAACATCATAACAAAATGGCTGAGCCAAATTTAATATCCCAGTACAATCAGTTTTTTTTTTTACCAACTTGATTTGGTTTCAGTTTGTTTCATTTTATCATTTCCTCAAGTTTCAAACATTTTTACTTTGAATTAGCCTATAATGTTATCAATATATTGGATTATTTGAAAATTACATTCTAGTATTTCACAAAAAAAGCAACATTTTTGCAAATATTTTGACATAACCTGCAAGGGTCTTTGATTAGAATTTATAGTTACATATATTTTGATGTAGAAATCTGTTTCTTGATAAAGCCCTATAGAGTTGACTATGTGCAAAAACTGGTTATGGAAGAAATATTCCTACATGGTGGAACATCTGACCCTGAAAATTATTAATAGTAATGGCAAAATCAAAGCATTGGATGATCAAGAGCAAATGCATAAAAGGTATACCATTTCATAAAAAAATGTTTTAAAACTATTTATTGATTTTAAAGAAAACACAAAGGATATGTATTGTGGCGCCATCTAGTGGTTTGTAAAGATACATAATTTGCGTTTCACACAGACAGATGTTGGTGTTTATATACTTGATGATGAGTTATAAACTTGGTGGATGTTGCTAAAGACATCTTTACCAACTTAACAAGCTTCAAATAGAGGGCCTTTCAGAGTAATCAAAATTAATAAATAATAAAAAAAGAAAATTACAAAGATTCAGTTTATTAAATATTCTAAAAAGTAGGATGAATAATACACAACAGGATTCTTAGTATTTCACAAAACTAAACTCACTTGAGTACAATATATTCTCCAATCATTGTCATCAGTATCGTGAACCTCCTTAAAACAGTGAACATTGGCAAACTAGTAAAGGAAAAACACTAGTATTGTGAACATTTTTAAGACAGTGAACGCTAACATACTAGTCAAGAAACACCTTTCTAACACAGTGAAAAAATGCAATGTAATAATGTCTTTTGACAGATAACACATGAAATGTTAATAAAAAAACAAACTTTTAAGTTGTTTTCATAACGTTAACATTATCTCTTTAATGTCTGCAAATACTTTAATCTTGAAATGTTTAAGATGTTATGACTTTTAAACTAAAAAAAGTTTCATGCCTACAAGAACCTTAATATAATATTATTAATTATTCCTAAAATTTTCATATCTTAAGGTAGCTTACCATAATTATATAACTTCTAATTGCTTTAGTAAAAGTTTTACGTGTTAAAGCAGCATCATTAAGTAACTTAACTCAAGATTAATCATAAGCCATTGAGAGTTATCAGAAAAAACAAAAGTTAGGCTTAACAAATGAACATAAAAAGAAAATTACTTTAACAATAGAAATTATTTACACATATCAATTATTTCTCAACATAAAAGAATGTCAAGATTCTACCAAATGATCAACACTATACACGTTCATTACTTTGCATTTCGTTACATAAAAAGACGTCGTTATAAAAATGTGTTTCTCACATAATAGTCCATTATCTTACTGAAATGATGGTCTTCTATTCCAGTAAGTTTCATAATATGTTTTTCTACACAGAAAAGTATTCCATAAAAACAAATTTTCAATTCAGTTAACTGCTAAAACAGTTGATGTGCTAATGTCTACAGTAGTTTACATATCTCTTCGAAGTGAGCATACAAACAGTAAACACACCGTTCACTCTTGTCCCCAATACTACCTTCCTTGATCCATGCCCATCTTAAAAACATTGTGTTTATTTACTAGAACAGAAGGAATTTTATTTAGGCAGTTTGCCCCTGAGGAAGAAACGTCCACCTTTCGAAAATGCTCGGGTTATAGGGTTTTTATTCATTTCTATTTAGACAGTAAAGGTATACTTGTACATAAATGTTGTTGTGCTAATATGTAGTGTTTATTTAATTTAAAATTAGTGGTTCGGGTTGAACATAAGTTAATAAATTATGGTATAAACCCTTATATGAATGTGTTTTGACCAAGGAGGAAAACCTCAAAGCATAACCCGTACTTGTAGTAACACTTGTATGTCGTGACCAATTTCCTGGTGTCATATTTACAGATGATATCACCTCACATCCATTATAAATATTCTAGGGTATCAACCACTTTGAGTAAAAGTATTCCCAAGAAGTTCTTAAATGCTTAATCACTCCAAAGATATACCCCACCCCTGTTTTTAATGTATGAAAATCATACTAATTAATGCATTTCAAATTTAGCATCTTTTCTTTAGATGTTAATTTTTAAAAATATCTCTTTTAATAGTCTTAGAGGAATTCTGGTTAATATCGTAAAAAATACATTTCATTTTATAAACATACTATCACGTTTTTAAAAAAAAATTAATTTAGGATATAAAATTTGGCAAGTTTATAATTTTGCATGAAACTTTCTGCTAGTGATATTGAAAGAAATTCAGTCTACATACGAGTTATGAGACTTAGTACATATAAGTTTGCACATGTATAATAACACACACACACACACACATGTACCTTTGTACAGATATACATATCCACTAAGCACAGATGTTTCTCAGTCGCACACATTTTCATACATATGAAGTACTCCATCATTTGCTAAAATTAGAAACTTCTATATTTAGGTTACACTTTTTCTGGATTACTTGTATTCATAACGAATCAGTTCCTTTTATCCTAACCTTTTTTCCGTAAAAGCAAACATCACTAAATATGCTAGTATACCTTAACCTCTGAGTACCTCCTAGTCCAGTAATCAAATTGCCAAGGTAAAAGAGTGGAAGAGGCCATATCTAGAAAGAAACAACGGTTTACATTAGCAGCATTTCCATTAAAAACCTTACAGTTGTCAAGATGAAGAACATAACACGTCACTGTTTATAATAATATTCAAGACACTTACTTCTTTCTTTACTCAATTTTTCATATAAGCTTTTAAAAAGCACGAATACAGATGCTAAATGTTCACAAAGAAAAATTATTTTTTCAACTGAATTATATGGATATTTCTCCATTTTTAAAAGGTAAAATTATTTACACTCCTTAATAAAGATACTCACCTTGAGAGGAATGGTGCGTGAAAAATCTGGGAAAGTTAAACATCCAAAAGTTTTACCGCAGCTTAATATAAATAAAGTTACAATCATCTGCAGTAAACAAAAAAAAACAGCATTAAACATGGTTTACATCAAAGTTAACAGGAAAGAGAAATTACATTTAATTTAACAAAGACATTTGAATTAAATCGGCTGTGACGATTCTGGGAGGCACTAGAATAACAACATCAGTCTTGACTAAGTCAGAACATTAAAGAAATTTTGTGGATTCCCAGGAACTATTTAAATGTTATACCAAAAATAATTTACATAATTAGGCTATACAAATAACATTTGTGTGCTAGATGGCAAGTACACTTATTTAGCATAACATTCATATGCTAGATGGCAAGCACACTTATTAAGCAACTACATTATTCTACACACTACTATAACCAACTTGCTCAAAAAAGTTTACACTGTAACCTATTATACAGAATTATGGGCTGCCAGACAGACAGCTGCATACTCTCATGACTTTGTCTAACACTTTAGTTAATTATTTATACATTACAGCTCACCAAACAAGATTGCCACATGTTTACAGTAGTTTATATATATATCTCTCCTCAAAGGAAACAAACACACTGTATAGGGTTAAGTTCAATGTTACTCATTATCACAAGACTGCCCATTTAGTTATGGTATATACTTCTATTTGTACTAGTGGGTTATGATTTGGAAGGGAAGGTTACTTTTACGTATGACGTAACATGAAGTGATAATGAGCGATGCTTAACATAATGGACGATTATTTGCTAATAAACACCCACATCTGAAAAAACAAATAATGTTACACGAACAATGGTTTTTGACAAATGTTAGCAAAAAACATGAAAAAGTTAACGAGAAGTACGTACTACCCCGAAATCAACAAAGATACATGTTGTTAAACATAAAAAACGTGTAGTGTCACAAAGTTAACAAGAAAACTGTATTAAATAACATCTTTGACTATGGACAAAGCTAAAAACCATCAACCAAGAAATGGAGTGTTGGATGTGGGTGAACAATTTTGTTTGCCGACAAAAACATGCTACTTTAAGAAAGAAACACAATTTTATCATACTTTATTACAAGGTTAATCTTTGAATACAAACAAACTCTCTATTATTTTCAACCAACTTTTAACAGAGGTGATGCAGGGCCACAAATTAAGGATTTTTTTTGGCAGGTTGTGCTTTACTAGGGAGAAAAAGACTCCAATATGCGGTAAATGCCAAATATGCCTTAGGTTCACTGCACCTGGCTCCAACTTTATATGATGTGATTAACATACTAGATGTAAATATTAAGTTTTAACAAATAATATACGTCTTCGAAGAAGTTTTACGAAAGAGAGAGCAAATTTCCTACCTTATCATGTGCAGATATTAAAGTTTGTCCATTACTTTTATCATACAAAAAATTCACAAGGATTACTAAACATTTCAGTTAAGCAGTGCCAGTATTTTCAAGGAGTGTGGATAACAGATAATATAAAGCAAAAAAAGATTGCTTGTTTAG